TTTTTTTCAAATCAAAATAGTGCAAAAGCACATGTCGAAAAAACACTTTATCGCGTTCCATTTTTCACAAAGCAAAAGAAATTGTTGTTTAGGAAAATAATTGTGTATGCTGACTGAATGTTATCGAGAAATGTCGAAATTAATCACAAACTACCTGTTTCGTTAGTAATGACTACTAGAACTGTTTGCATTGCCATCTAACATTTGTGGGCGGAAACTAAGTTAAGGTCCTAATATATTAAAAGTGGACAAATTGGATGAATAGGGCAACCCGAGGCATAATAGAGTATCGTCGATAACTTTTTCTCAGAGGTATTGCTACACGGAGAGAATATTATAGTTTTTATTTTAGTTTTTATATTAGTTTTTATTAGTTATGTTTTATTTTAGTTTTTATATTAGTTTTATATTAGTTTTATTTTAGTTTTTATATTATAGTTTTTATTTTAGTATAAATTCTTTTCAAGTTTTTTGCTTTAAGTATGTTAAGTTAACGATATGTTGAATGTTAAGTACGTTAAGTTTTTAAGTCAGGAAAATAGACTGTCAGTAAGATCTGTCTTGTTGAACATATGTCTTGAGGAACATATTAAATTTTGCTAGAGATATGGCGAGTGTTTTGATAACACATTTCAGTTCCTAAAATATAAATAGCACACACGAGATCTAAACCAATTATTATAGAATGTCGATCTAATCTTCGGTTACAAGATCCTATAATATTTCTCCTATAAAATTCTTCCCGCGTATGTAATAAAATGTTTTGCTATCATTTGCTAAAATGTCTTTTACTGCATGCTATTGCTAGTCGTCATATTTTCCGCTGAAAGATGCTGGATATCGCTTTATACTCTTGATACGGCGACTGCCGTTGAAACTTGTTTGATACTTTTGAAAGGTAAGCAACGATAAAATTCTCGTTTTTATATACATTTGCGTTATCAAACGATCCTCTTTCGTCATTTTAGTTAAATGTTCGTGTATCAACTACCTATGATGTCTATCGCTATCTAATCCAAACTTATACATTACGAGACGTAACGGGACGTAACGGGATTGTGCCATCGTGTTCTTACAATTAAGTTGTATTATATCTTTTCATATCTTTTCATATTCTACATAATTCAGATAATTGATATTAACACACGTTTACCATACCAAATATTGATTGTTATTAATATTTTAATTATAAAAAGGTATAGTTTCATCGTTTTACAAGGAAATTGTCGTCAATAAACAATTATAATTAATTAAATGTGCAGCACTACATTTCTATATATAGTGTATCTTAATAGATCACTTTTAAATGAACGTTTGAAAATTAATGATTAAGAAATAAGTGAGTCTTGTGAGAGATATCCTATTTTACCGCGTAGAAAGTATAACGAGATCAAACAATGTTTTCAGAAAAACAATAATTTCGTTCTTCTTAACTATTCTTTCACAGTAAAACTTTGTTTTTTTTTTTACAGTGAACATGTCAGAACGTTTTGGTGCAATATGAGGTTGATTTACGCATTTCTGCTATGTTTAGAATTTATTTAAACCTCACGCTTCTCATTACGCCTAATAACCCCTAATACGTCGCATGAAATCGCGCAATGATCATTTGTTGATTTGTTTTACGATTGGAATGTCGAAACCGAACATTAGGACAGATGTTACAGAAGCATTCACGGTGAAAAAAATCCAATGGAACGACGCGATTCGACGAACACTGCCACATCTCCTTAAACGCTCTCGGACGTCTCCTCGTCGCGATTTAATCCGCGGTATGCGTTGCAATTTTAATTAGACCGTTGTAACTTTGCGATGAAACGAGATTGGAACTGCTCCAATAAATTAAATTCGCATCTGATGAGCGCGAAGAGACCAAGAGTTGAGACTTGAATCCTAATTGCGCACTCATCCGTGATACGAGATTTCGTCGAGCGTCCTGCGCTGCAGCGGACAATCGGGCCTGACGGCGCATTGTCCAAGAAATCCAGCTAACTCACCGAGAATCAACAGCAGCAGGTCGGACACCGCCAAGTTGAATAGGTAGTAATTCGTGGCGGTCTGCATGACGGGGTTGCGCCTGATAACGATGCAGGTGACTACGTTGCCGAACACACCGGTGACGAAGATTGCGACGTAGACGAAGGTGATCGGCAATACGAGCGTCAGCGGCAGATACTTCGGGCCCCACACCAGTCTCACGTACTCCGACTCGCTGAGGTTCATCAGTTCCGTGATGTTGTCAATGGCCACGAGGTATCGACCCGAGATTTCCATGCTGCCTCGGCTCGAGATCGATCGTCACGCTTGGTACAGAAAGTATCGTCGAGCGCCGCGCCGATCAAGTCGTCCGTTCACCGCGAACGATCTCGCGTCGACGAAGGAAGCGCGTCCTGCTGCCGGCGAGGAAGCGGATCGTTCCGTCTTCTCCTGACAGTCATGATGTCGCGCCGACACTCTTGTCGGCCCGCCAGCAAATTAAATCCTCGTCACGCTACGCACACGGAAACCCAGGGCAGCCTGTCGTCCCGTCGATCCTTGACGCGTCGAATCGAATCGCGCGCGAATCACATCCAATCGCCGCGGGCTCGCTCATTGTTTTCGAGCCGGTAATATTCACTGATAGCGTAGAGCTTGTTTGGCCGGAGATCGAATTCGCTCAGGGAACGATCCCCGACGCGATATCACTGGCAGAACAGGGTGAAAAGTGCTCCACTCGAGAGACCGTGGACAAGTGACGGCCGCGGAGCGCTCCGGCCTTCGCCATCGGACCACGCGCCCCATCCACCACGCATCCAACCCTTAACTTCAACCCCCTCGAGAGGGAGAGAGAGAGAGAGAAAAGGGGGAGGAAGAGACAGCGCACCGCGCCGCTCACCCAATAGGACGGCACGATCATCGCATGCAAATATTCCAAATATCCAGCGCATATTGTTTTAAACGACACGACGGACGAGACTTTGTAGTAATGATCCTCGTCGCTCGATATCGATTTTTTTCGATACGACGCTCGACTAGATTTTCAAGATATATTCATTCAGAATATGCCGCTCTGTCACATAAGCGGCTCGGTTTGATCATTTGTTTGTCTCGTGTTCGAATGTCAGACGCGTGGGGCAACTCCCAATCACGCTGCACAATCTTTCGACTCGCGTCGAAGTTAAATAGGACGAATTACATATTCGACGTCCTCGTAACTCTAACTTGCCGAAAAGTTCCTCGCGCAAAATCGCGTTGAATGCATTCGCCACGTTGTGTCGCGCAAACCTCCGTGTGATTCGAACAAAAGCGTCGAGTCGAGACCGTCAAAAACAGATCATGGAGAAGGAGGAATTTCGCTCGCCAGCCATCCCACGAACTTCTTTTTGCTCACGTCAACTTGGCACGAAATTCACTGAATTTCTCGAGATTTAGTACATCGATCGTCGTCCATAATTTAGGCGTCGAAGGACGCTGAAAGCGGCCCGATCATGTCACCTTCGCCTGCAGACTATCCAGCCGATTTACAACGCACGTCCAAGCTTCCGAAAATTTAACTTTTAAACGACCAATGCAATCCGCCAAGTACGAGCGCAATAAATTATTTCGCTGATTATTATCCGGGACGCATTAGGACAATCAATAGCATCCTGTTTGGCATAAAGTTGTCAGTAAACGCGGAAATCGGATATTCATGAAGCGAAACATTTACCGGGATAGAATCCATTTCTATCGGCCAATGCGTGCGTGCGTGCGCGCACGTGTGTGTGCGCCAATGATTGTTATTTTATGCGACAAATAAACTTCTACTTTCCATTTTGTTTACAGGCTGGTTGTTTATACCCGCTTCGTCGTCACACTACTTCAAATATGTTCCGTCGAATTTTCCCATCGTGCTTTATTGCTTTCATTTTATTGTGTGAAATAATATGCCACATGTTGTTAACGGGATGTCTCTTCTCGCTGGCCGAAGCTTGTATTTGTCATTTTGCTCAATATCGCTTTACGTGTAGTTATCCGGGTGCTATCCAGCGATTGTTATAACCGTACATCATGACAGTTATTGCCGGGGTGACTTCGCGGACAGCGGACGTTTTAACTTTCGTCACGAGCGGCTGCGTACATTATGCATATCACGCGCCATTAATGAGCGTTACTCGGACGGATTTACGCCGTTGAATAAATATCGAGCTTAGACTCTCAACGCACACGACACCGCGGAGAAATCGTCTCAAAACCTTGGTGCACCTTAGACGCGTTCGCAATTGGAGTCTCCTCTCCGAGGCATGTTACGTGCGTGTTATAATTAATGAAGTACGATAATTAATCGTTATAAACTCGCTCGCTCGCTAGATGAAATTTGTTCTCGCGTATGATCTGTGCTTCTGCATATATTTTAAATTAAATTAGTAGTTTTTGTAATGTACTCTCTAAGGTGTTAATGGTTATCACTTGTCCTGTATGAAACATTCAGATTTTTATTCAGAGTTTCACCTAAGTTTTTCATAATATATATGATATTTATGTTTGTAGTAAATTCAACTGAAAACTTCTTATCTAACTTATCTAACTTTGAATTTAAAGCTGCCTATCTAAGATACGTATTAATAGTGGCTGTTTAAAACTCCTCTCAAATAAGATACTTAGACTTGAGTTCAGAGTTGGATGAAAGTTTTTGAATCGCGGTTACAGATATCACATGTATTGTGATATTTATAATTATGTAATTCAAGTGAAAATGTTCAATCTAATTCGAAATAAAAGTTGGAGTATCTGATGTGAGACAGACTTCAAATAATGACTATTAATGTAATGTAGCTTAAATACTCGAGGCAAGTTTCAAGTAACGACTATTATTACGGGTCTTGCATTAATTATCTGAGGTCTATTATTATCTGAGGTCTTGCATTAATAGTCATTAGTTGAAACTTGTCTCAAATGAGATAGTCAGATTTGAATTTAGACCCGTGTTAATAGTTCTTACTTAAAATTTCAATCAAGAGCTAAAACTAAAAACGTTTCCCCATCTGTTGCCTGTATAAAGCTAAAAATAGTTTTTCATTTAATTTTCATATATATAACCCGATCGATAGTAAATGTCGTTTCTATATTGGCACTGCCATATCGACAGTTTCTTTCATTCTATGAGATATAAGTACCCTTCAATTCCATTTTTCGGTCCAGTTCTATGTCATAACGATGCACGACGTACAGAGCAAAAGTACTTCGGGATGCATATTACTTCTAGGACTTTCTTAGGTAGCTTATAAATCTCAAGATTAAATAAGTTCACAAAACTATAGTACGTGAATTCCGGAATGTATTCCCGGCTGATACATCGTGAATTCGGGAAGCGTAGCTGGTTGCGGATGAAGTAAGTTTGCGGAAATATTAATTCTCGATATTTACGATGACTAAACGCGCTGTGAATATTTAACTTGCTAAATACAGCCCGTCTCGACACTCTGCTTACCATTCTCCGCATCTCTCTCTCTCTCTCTCTCTCTCTCTCTCTCTCTCTCTCTCTCTCTCTTCCTTCATATTTTATTGGAAGAAAAGGGATACTTTGATCAACCCAGAACTTTTAGAACGAAATATTGCGGCCACTTCTTTTATAAGAGAGATAGGATCCAGCAGGATTTCTTGTTTAACAGTTACACATTACGTCCCATTTCCGTATAAATGAAATCGCACCTGGTGCTGATTATATATTTTCCCGAAGCTCCCGCTTTTATCATTACGAGTAAAAAAGATACAGACTTCGAAACCGATATACAACGTCGGTAAATTAAATTTTCCGTGCAACAGATGCGAAGGATGTTCCTTCTTCCTTGATTATCGCATTTCCGTCACTCTTAATATATAAAATGCTCGATGCAGCAATCACTCAAGCTTATAATAACTTATTATTCAATGAAATAAGATTAAAGCGGGACTTTCATTAATTCTACTTTATTTTCTATTTTTCATTTATTGAAAAAGAAAGAAAAGTGAAAACACAACTTAAGGATTTTTTATTTCGATATGAAAATTGTTTTGATGAATCGCACATGAGACAGATTCACATATGTTTCGCTTTTCGCCCGCTATCCATCACACCGTACAATTTAAACACACGGATCACTTTTGCACGTTAACAATATTGAAATTCGAGCACAATGAAATTACATTGATCCCGACACAACGAAATGTGATCCCGTCGAAATCGCGCGAGTGCCAGTGTGAGTTTCAATCCCTGCATTAAATTATCTCCCGCGCCGCTCAAAGAAACCGTCGCGGCAAATTGTCGTGATTCTGTTTGCCGGGCAATACGTCCGCGGCTTCACTCTTTGAAAAGGACAAACGAGCGTGTCTCTTGTCCGTTCAAATGGCACTCTGCCCCCCCGAGGAGCAGCACCTGTGCTACACGCACGACCGCTTTTTCCATTCTGTCTTTAAATTCCTCTCGCGTCAATGCATCCGAGCGGATTTCTTCTTGAACTGGCCTGCAAACATTACACACCACAATTCCATAAGATACCGATAGACCGTGAATATTACTCTCTCTTCTTCTTCTCTCTCTCTCTCTTACCATTTACAGTTACAGTTGACCATTTACATTTACAGTTGACGTATACGTACGTTTCTGTAACGGCTGCGGATTTCAGTCTATGATAAAAACGATACCAATACCTATATCAATAACATTAGTATCTAACTCTGGACATTTTTATCATTTTGGTCTTTTTTTTTAAATACGAATATTTAAACTTTTAATATAAAATATATATTGATAATTAATTGCGAAATGGTAGAGAAATGTTGTGTTCAGTTTGACCTAATTTATATATACACAAAGTATGAAACACTTTGCGTCATACACCTGTATATTCTACATTGAAAGTTTAAATATTTAAAAACCAACTCATATATAATAAGAATGTCCAGAGTTAGACATCAGTGTTATTAGTGCCCAAGCATTGGCACTTTTACTTTACACCGACGGCAAACTTGGCATGTATTCTAAAGAACATTACAAAGTACATAGACCAAATTATCTCCATTACTTAATTATTTACTTATCCACTTATTAACTTAATTCATTATTTACTCCATTATCTTAATTACTTATTTTACTTACTATTAATTTCCACTTCTCATAGGGTCACTCAAGTATTGTTTGCTCAAGAGCTACAAATTGTTTCGCAGAATATCTACCTATTTCCGCCAATTTCCTCTTTCAGAGGAACTCAGCTAAGAATATAATGGGAAACTAAAGGGAAATTAATAGTTAGCTAATTACTATGAAGGTATTATTAGCTGTATAGCTACGGGAGGATACATTGTTGGAGTTTCAAACAACCTCACTCAGTCACCCTCGTGCAGTCGATGCTATTTCAATTGAGTAAACACACAAACCAATCTTATTGCTTGAATTATGTACTATCAATCAGGAGTGCAACTTTTTGTCTCAACTATTCCCTGACTTTAATTCTTCTTGTTGAAAGGACAATTTTTCTTTCGTGGCCCATGTGTTCCCAGCGATAGGCCCCGGAGTAAAGATCGATGGAAAGGAACTACACGACGGCCCCTTAGCTTTAATCGAGTCGTCAATATCTCGGGTTTACTTCGTAAATTCTGTCACGCGTGTCTAGAATCTTCACGCGCCAGCGCGTGTCTAAATACGCTCGTTTGTAAATATGATTAATAGCGAAGTCACTTCAATACGCGGGGTATACTCTAACTTTATCGACGGCG